CTCACAGGACTCCCCATGAGTCTGGAAATTTGGTTGCAGAAGAATGATGTCCCGCTTCCCCACTGCCAAATTTCTGAACCCACAGGGAGCCCCAGACCCTGCCTGTTGGATTGGGTGCCTGATCCAAGCATACAGGGTGGAGCTGGGGTGGCACTGGGCCCTAGGAACTGATCCGGGCATGTGGAGAGCTGGCAGGGGATGGTGCCAGGCCCCTGGGACCTATTTCTAGTGCACTGGGGCAGGAGAGGGTGGTGATCCCCCAGGGACCTGTCCAAGTGTGCTGGGACATGAGAGGGTGGTACCAGGGCCCCCAGAGACCAATCCTAGAGCATGGAGGTGGGAGAGGGTGGTGCTAAGCCCCAGGTTCCAATCCTGACTTGCAGGGCTCAGTCTGGTCCCATCTCACTTATCTGGGGCCAAACAGTTGAGCATCACTAATCTAGTCCAACCTCTGTCTAAGCCATCCCACACAAAAAATTGTCTAAACTATACTGAAAAACTTCTAATGATAGAAAAACCCACAACCTCTGTAAGTATTTTCTTCTAGTGCTTAGCTGCCCTTATAGTTGAAAAGTTTTTTCTAATATCTAAATCAAATATATCTTGTTGACATTTAAGGCTATTATGTCTTGTCCTGTCTTCTGTAGACACATAACAAGCGTTTACCATCCACTTTATAATGATTCTTTTTGGATGTGAAGACTTGCCAAACCCCTTCTCAATCCCTGCACTAAATACCACCAGTTCTTCTAATGTTTTCTCATGTAATGTTTTTGAGAGCTTTAACAATTTGGGCTGCTCTCCTCTGGACTATGAAGTCTTTCCAATTTGTCAACATTTTTTTGGAAGTATGGCTGCCCAGAACTGCATATAGTATTTCAGATCAAGTCAATGAATATAGTTTCCACTAACTTGCATATGACACTCCTGCTAATACAACTCATTGTGCTTTGCGTCTTTTTTTTTTTTAATCAATATTATACTGTTGAGTTATATTCAATTTGTGATCCTATTCTGCTCTACTGCAACCTAGTCAGTTATTCCCATTTTGTATATGTGCATTTTATTGTCCCTTCCTATGTGTAATGCTTTGTGCTTGTCCTCATCAAATATCCAATTTGTTGTTTTAGAACAGGGGTTGGCAACCAACAGCAGGCATGCCAAAGCATGGCACACGATGTCACTTTGCTCAGCACACCACAGCTGGCCCAGGCTCTGGGCAGCTCCCATGGCCACAGAGCCCTGGCTGTTCGCAGCAGGTGGCTGGGCAGCTGCAAGCAACCCAAGCTCTGGGGCCGACAGCAACTGCCCAGAGCCCAGGCTTGGTGTGTCAGGCATCTGGGAGGCTGCAAACAAACTGCACTGGGGTCCGGAGCCCCAGCACCAGCTCTGTGGCAGTGGCAGCTGCACGCATGCCTTGGGGGAATGGCAGGGAACAGACTCGGTTAGCCCGACCCTGGCCCCTCCCCTGCTGTCCACCCGGAGGCGCATGTGCACCTGCCACCAGCAATGAGGATCTGATCCCTTGCAGCTCCCCACCATCTGCCCTTGGTATGCCAAGTCCAGGCATGGGTAAAGGTTGGGGTGTTTTTGGCACTCTTGATGAAAATATTGCTGACCCATTTTAGAACATTTTCCCAGTTCATCAAGATCATTTTTAATTTCAATCCTTTCCACTATAGTCCTCTATAGTTTCAACTACCCCATTCAAGTTAGTGTCATCTGCAAATTTACTCTATTCACACTGCATCCTATTCTCCAACTTATTAGTGGAGATAATGACCAATATTGGAGGCAGAACAGACTGCTGGGGAACCCCACTTGATACAGGTTTCCCTTGCTTTATGTGGGTTCTGTATGTGTGAATTCACTCTTATGCAATGACCCTTTTTATACCAAAAATTCGTTATATGTGAGGTAAATTCACTCTTATGCAACCAGTGTGGTGGAAGCCTGCAGTCAGCTGCTTTGTGTGGTGCATTGTGAGAGTGACGCACACCAAAATATAGTCTCCCATGTGGATCTGTGCTCCTTGCTTATTGTCTGCGACACATGTTTCTGTAGTTGCCATCTCCATTATAATAGAGCCTGTGCTTGTGTGTTCTGTCTGCTGTTTGTGAGTAGCAAAACTGTCTTGTAAAAGTGGTAGAAATGGGTCTGGGTGTCAATACAGTTGAGGTCTTGGAACATAACCCTATTTGTTACATTGGAAAGTGGGTTCCCTTTATGTGAATTCGAGTTATGCGTGGTTTTCCAGGAACGCATGTACAGTGAGGGAAACCTGTACCTCATCCTAGTCTGATATTGAGTCATTGATGACTGACTGGTCAATGAGAATAATTATGCAACTAGTTATATACCCACCTTAGAGTAGTTTCAATATTTGGAAAAACAGTGGCAAAAGTCTTACTCAAGCCAAGGTATATCATACACTTTACTCTTCCCCCATCCATAAAACCTGATAATTAATTACAGAAGGAATTTAGGTTGTTTAGGCATGGCTTGCTCTTGATAATCCCATGGTGGCTGTTTCTTGCCACCTTGTAATCTCTAGATGCTTACAAAATCAATTATTTTATGATATATTTCAGTATACTTTAAGGCATTAGACTTGTCAATCTAATCCCTTGAACCCTTCTCTCTACCCCCCCCTTTAAAAAGCAGATATTATATTCGCTTCCCCCCCACCCCCATCTCAGCTCATCACCACGAGTTCTCAAAGATAACAGCCAACAACTCTACAGTTAGGTAAGCCAGTTCCATGAGTACTCTAAAATAAATCTGATCAGGACCTGCAACAGAGCTAGAGAGACAGTTGTTTGCCTGATTCTTGAATCTTTTGATGCTATATAACTCCTTTATACCAGGAACTTTGGTACTAAAGGGAGGTAGCCAGCAGTATCAGTACTAGTATTGTCAATATCAAAGACGCCAGTACTAAGCTGCATTACTAAGACCATAAAGCATTGTCTGATACGAGTAGATGGGTATCAACATTTTGTAACTGCTGCCCTAATGTTCCACAAGAACCCTTTTGGGTCTTGCCATACAGTTTTCAGATGATTCTTTGGGCTATAATCCCTGAGGAAAGCTCTTTCATTTTCTAAGAGAAAAGAGATGTTTTACTGGGAATAGAGACAGTGTTCTAATCTTACCCCTAATGACTAACAAATATCTATTAACACTAACTATATATATAAAAATGATAAAAAGCTGTTTTATACTTGCAACATGAAAGTACAGCTGTTGAGAAGGAACTGTTGACCTTTATGTTAAGTAATGTATGCCCTATTTTGAGGAGGGAGATAATAGTGGCCTCTGTGTTCTGAGATGTGTTCCTCTGGCATCCTTTGCTGAGGTTCCCATCTGCAGATGTAATGAAGATCCAATGCCTTTTCACTTTTAATCTCTTAATTTGGATAAGACCTCCCTAAGGAGCTGGCCATCTATTAGAAATATTTGGATTTTAAGATGTAGAATCCTAAATTGTAAAATGCTTATTTGTTTAGATCACACAAGTATATCTATACGTATAGATACATATAGTGTTATTCTTTTTTTTGCTACCAGTAGTCATAATCTGAGAATTCTAATAATCTACTTCTGCATTCACTCCATTTGAGGATTTATTTTTGCTGAGAACAGGGTCTTTCAAAGTAACCGCCAGACTCCTAAATTTGCTCAGGAGGTCAACAGAACTGAGGAGTAGATGGGGACATGACACTTTCTATGCTTTCTGTTACAGAAAGGAGGACAGTCAAGATGCAGAAATTACTCCCAATGAATGGAGCTAGCCAGAAGAATCTACACAAGTATATAAAACTCTCACCAGAAGAATCCACACAAGTGCACACAACTCACACGCACCAATGGTGGAGTGCACATTGGTAAGTACTCAAAGAAAAACTGTATATTCCTGAATTCTAATTCCAGCCCAGGCACCAACTTGCTGTGTGGTTGGTTTTTTTCCACGTCACACCTATATCTTTGGTTGACTTTTAAAAATAATTAAGAATGTATTTCACAAGAATGTTGTTAGACTAGAGCTGATTGGAATTTTTTCAGTGGAACATTTTTCTACTTGAAATTGCCATGCCATCAAAAACAAAATTTCCAAGAAAAAATATCAATTATCGAAACATGTCATTTGGGAAAATAACTGAAAAAAAGTTTGCAAAAGACAGAAGCGTTTCACTTCAAATGCTAATATGTTAATCTTGAAAAAACATTTTACAAGGAACTTTAAATCCATGTCAATATCAAAGCAAAATAATTATTACAGAACAATTAAAAAAATTGAGATGTATTTTGTCAAATTAAATTAATCGGATTTTAGAATCAGAACATTTCCTAAAAATGAAAAAATTACAGTTTCCACACATCTTGCCAGAACTGTTATGTTAGCACAATATAATACGCTATATGTAATGAGTGCTAAGTAGCAGCCTTAGCTGTTCCAACTAAGCTTTCACTCTTAATTTTAAAATTTTATAAACCAATGTAATGACATATTACTAGTACATATCAAGTAGAAAGCAATTTTCTCTGTTACTAGTAATGATTAAGTAAACACAATGGAATCTAATTACACATTTCCATCTAAATTGCAATACATAAAGATACAGTTATAAAAAAACAGCTACCTTATGCATACTGTCAAATTTCAGCAAAGAATTACTCATATCTTTAGCCTGTATACAGTCCAAGTAGGTTTAATTTACATTTGCTTTGGTTTAAGTATGTGATTACCAGATATAAATAAAGATATGTAGGCAAGACAGCATGTTTCTAAAATATATCATGTATTAACAGTTCAAATATGGAATTTCTGATCTGTACGGTGTTTGTGAACCATAATATATTTTATGGTTCACAAACACCGTGTTACTCAAAAGTTGACAGTTATGCACTGTTTTGTCAAAGTTGCATACTCTACTATAGTTGTCTGCCATCAAAACATGCAGTAAACAAAGAATTCTCTGCAATCACAAAGCTCTTACCAGTTTTCTCTGAAGTTCTGAGAAACACCATATCAGATGGGATTCGTTGATTCTGGGGGAAAAAGCATATTTTGTGTGTTTGTAAATAAAAAATTCATTCCAATCAAATGTCCAGTAAGATCAGCAACTAAAGGTCACACATGGATTGAAACTCAATTAAAAGAGGATTTATCAAAGTACTTTACATTCAGCATTTGCAATTCAGAAATCAATATTTTAGAAAAATTATACAATAAGCAAACAACAGTTAAGCCTTTCAGATTCTCCCTGTAAGTGAATCATATAAATGCATGAAGAATTGAAACAAGGAGTATTTTCTGATTTATTGTTTTCAGTCAGGAAAAAAATGAAATGTTAAGCTAACTCAAAAGAAAGAAAAGAAAGAATGTTAGTAAGCCAAATCCTCACCCTTTACTTGCTTTGTGTAAGTGCAGATAACAAATTGATTGGTGCAACTTAAAGGACCTGTCTTGGTATTTAGATGGCCCAGACCACTAATCATGCATCCTAAGTATTTATGGACTTTCGGATGCAGAGAAGTACTATTATTCATAATTTAGACATGCAGAATTTGTCTTTGCCCAAAAAGAAATGAAGAAAAAAGAAAAAGAAGATAACTTCTGTTCCATACAGAGTAAGTTTTAATTAGGTCCTCTATATGAAGAAAGAACATCCTAAGCACTTTTTAAAAACTCTGTTATTGCCTTCTATTACAAAGGGTATTCCAACTACTGAAATCTCCAGGTTCCACAAAAGATGTCCGTCTTTTGTGATGCAATTAGGCATAGTCAATAATGAAAATCTGAAGCATAACGGAAAACTGGACTGAGAAAAGTAAAATTGATGTGGAACACTGTGGCAGGGCACTGTGCACGCCTCCCACTTTAAGGGCCAAGCCAAGCAGCCAGCAGGTGCTTAACTGTGTTAGCCATTTCAGATTCATGGCTGCCTATATAAACAGGGCATTTTGCTGCTGGCAGCAGGCAGTAACATTGCCTGGCTACAAAGCTGCTTGGAACATCCTGGAGGTAAGGGAAGGAGCTGTAGGGGATGGCTTGGAGGCTCCAGGTCCTAGGCATAACCTAAAACTGCACCCTGCCAAGACTGGGTGGCCTGGTGGGGCTCTCAGTGGTGTGGGAGCCCCCAGGAAATGCCAGGCCATTTACCACCACGGTGAACGGCAAGTAGGGGCACCTTAACCCCAGCCCTCACCTTCAGCTGGGCCAGATTCCATTACCATCAGAGCAGGGTTGGCCAGGTAAGCTTCTGGAGACGCCCGAGCCTGCTGGGGGAGTGACCCCGCAGGGCCAGGCATGCTTCCAGGAGCACCTGAGCCAGGGACGGGGGACCCCGATCCTTAAATGCAGGCAGGAGGCGAAAACCCCGCTGACGTACTTGACTGGTCAATGCTTGGGCCAGGACCAAAGGGTCAAAAGAGCCAGGGGCCCACTGAGAGGGACGCCCACGAACACTGAGGAAGCTTGGGGTCCTGACTGGGCCTGAGACATGGTCAGGGCTTACAGAAGCCGAAGGTCCCCACAGTTGGGGGCCACAGCTAATGGGTGAAGGCGATGGTTTAGCTAACTGCCTGAGATGCCATCTGTGAGGCTTAGGCCACGGTGTAGGAGTGGAATGGAACCACGGATAGCCCTGCCAATATCAGGGTGTAACAATGGGCAGCCTCCCACCTTAACTAACAACATTATTAACTACCAACAAGGTGTGGTGAGCTAGACAGGCAGGTGGCATGCCCAGAGGCAGGTGGGAAGCTAGCCCTGTGGCTAGCCAGGGATACCCACTTCGCCACAAACACAAATACTACAAAAGATTTTAAACTAGATGGTAAAGGAATTAAAAATTTAAGAAATGTTCACGGTGAGGGAAAAAGGAGGAGTAATGAGGAGATGGGAATAGATGTAAATAGTAGGCCTGTGCGAATAGGCAGCTATTCGATTTGGCTTTGGATCCAGCCAATTCGGATGCCAGCGATCCGGAGCTCTGGGTCAGTTTCCCGATTGGATTCAGCCGAATCGGCTCTGAAGCTTTGGAGCCGCTTCAGAGATCTGGCCATAGGGTATAATGGGGAATCAATGAAATATCTATAACTTTGTTGGTTTTTTTGCCTGATTTGGATGAAACTTGCAGGGATGGTAGCCCCTGCTGAGGCCACAAAGCCTGCAAGTTTCAGAGACAGGTGCAGGGGTTTCTTGGAAACTGCATCCCAAATTCTTGAAAGCAAAACTCATGTCACGTGTATGTGTTAAGCCACAGCAGGGTCAAAACTGCAGGGATGGTAGCCCCTGGCGAGGCCACAAAGCCTGCCAAGTTTCAAGGAGATAGATGCAGGGGTTTGGGGGAAACTGCACTTCAAGCTGCTGACAGGCAAAACTCATGAGAGACGATCCTGTGTGTATTAAGGCACAGCAGGGTGAAAACTGCAGGCTTCCTAGCCCCTGTAAAAGCCACAAAGCCTGCCAGCTGTTAAGGAGATAGATGCAGGGGTTCTGGGGCCCTGCACCCCTAGCTGCTGACAGACAAAACTCGTGACACGGGTGCTTGTGCAACTGACTGTCTCTGTCTTGGGGCAGTTGATTGTCTGTATTGATTCTTTCCTCTCCTTAGTCTGTGGTTTTGTAGGTGTTAATCCTTGCTCGTTAACTCATTACATTAGCTAGCTACTGTGTATTGAGTTGGTCCCTGAGTGAATCACGAATGATTGGTAACTGGTAATACAGTAGACTAGCAGCCAGGCCTGCAGTAGGCCCCCCACCCCCCCCTCCATGCCCCAAGACAGACACAGTTGCACAAGCACCCATGTCACAAGTTTTGCCTGTCAGCAGCTAGAGGTGCAGGGCCCCAGAACCCCTGCACCTATCTCTTTAAAAGCTGGCAGGCTTCATGGCCGCAGCAGGGACTACCATCCCTGCAGCTTTCACCCGGTTGCACCTTAACACACCCGGAGTCACCCATGTCACGAGTTTTGCTCGTCTGCAGCTTGAGGTGCAGTTTCCCCCAAACCCCTGCAACTATCTCCTTGAAACTTGGCAGGCTTTGTGGCCTCACCAGGGGCCACCATCCCTGCAGTTTTGATCCCACTGTGGCTTAACACATACACATGACATGTGTTTTGCTTTCAGGACTTTGAGGTGCAGTTTCCCAGAAACCCCTATCATCTTGAAACTTGGTACGGGTCATACTCTCAGCAGGAGCTACCATCCCTGCAAGTTTCATATGAATCATACAAAAAGACAACAAAGTTACAGATATTTAATTGATTCCCCATTATACTCTATGGCCGAATTGGCTCCGAATCTTTTCTGAAGCAATTCGGAAGCTCCGAATCGATTTGGAAAGTCTAAAGCTTCCAGTGATTCAATTTGGATTCATAGATTCAGCCTCCGAATCATCTCTGAATCTGAATCATGATCTGAAGCTTTGCACAGCCCTAGTAAATAGTTCCCTGATGAATTTTTTAGGCCAGGGGTCAGCAACATTTTTGGGCAGAGTACCAAAAACACCAACAACCTCGACTTGAAAGATATTGACATGCCAAGGGCAGAGGGGCTGCAAGGGACCTGATCCTTGTTGTGGCAGCACAGCCACAGCCCCTTCCCCACAATGTGCCCCGAGGTGCGCATGCCAAGAAAAATGCCTTTACGTGCCACACACTGATACCTGTTTGCAGGTTTGCCTGCTCCTGTTTTAGGCTAATGTTCCATATAGCACACATGGCCGCTAATATAAATCAGCACACATTAATCCTCATCTCCCATCCCCCACTTCAAAAAAAAACACAAAAAAACCCCCAAACAAAACAAAAAGCAAAACATCATCCAGAAGCTAACTTTAGCTGCTAAAGATACTTCTGTGGGCAATAGTTTCATTAATTTGGCGTGTTAAAACAAATGTTTATTTCTACTATTGCAATTCATTTGCCACTGGTACACTATGTAGGACAGTGGTGCTCAACCTATCTAGCTCTATACACCAAATGAGTTGCATGGGGCTGGTCCGTGTGCTGGATTCCACACAGGGCTGGCACAGGGAAAGTCCACAGGTATAACCTGGCATCCAGAGCCAAACCAGCATGCTGGATCCAGCAACAGAGTGACCCCAATCATTGGCAGAAACTAGTACATGGGGCTGTGTCATCTGGTCCACAGGGCTCCCCACAGGTCTGAAAATTTAGCAGTGGGATGAGTGGTGGCAGTATTAATTGCTGCAGGGAGCCAGGGTAACTTATGTTGCCATGGCTCCCCTGCCACCAAATTTTCAGACCCAGAAGAAGCCTCATGGACTAGATGACTATGGTTGCCAGATCCAGCCCACAGGTCGTAGGTTGAGCACCACTGATTGAGTATTACATTTTGAATAAACATAGTACTTGTATAGCAAGAACACTCTGTCTCGGACAGCCAGGGCCGACTCGAGTTACGCTCGTACGTCAGGGCGGGCTGGTGAATGGAGAGGCAGACACAACTTATTGGTTGTAAAAAACTTTACTCACGCCGCTTGCAATCACGACGCAGGTGGTCCGGTCATCGGAACAACCACACGAGTTGCTCCAGCTGGCGGGGAAAGGGGTACGTCGGGGTTGCGCTCAGTGACAGGAAGAAAGATCGATAGGTGATCAGTCTATCGATCGGCAGCCGCAAGTCAGATAACTTCAGAGACACTCTGCAGCGTGCTCAAAGCTCTTCGACTTGGGCGGAAGTCGCGCGGAATTTTAAACGGCCAGCGAGCCAATTACTAGCCGCCACGTGTGAATAATTTAGCACTGGCCAATAACGGGGCACAAATTTGCATCCGAATAGTGGGAACTCTTTGCACCGTGCATCTCTGTGCTGCAAAGAAGAAATGCATCCTGCAAAGGAAACTGCAAATTGGCGGGAACTCTCCTGTACGCAGGCTCTTAATTGCAGCAGAACACTCTGCTGTGCAAAGGAGCTCTCATGTGGCCAGGAAATTCCATAGTGCCGAGGCACAAAAAATCACTGGGTCGTGACACACTCCATCTACCTAACAAATTCATTAGTTTTTCCCTTTCCAGAT